GATGATATGTGGATATGGCTGATGGATTATTTAGCAAATAGAAGCCAATTGACACAAATAGATGGTGCATTTTCGGAATCTAAACCTGTAAAAATTGGGATCCCTCAGTGTTCCCTGTTGGGACCTTGGCTCTTTATTACTTATGTAAATGATCTTCCTTACAGCATTAGAAGTGGCGAAGTTTGCATGTATGCTGACGACACTACCATTTATACCATTGGTAATACTACTGATGAGGTTGCTATAGTCCTCCAGGTGATATTAGATCAGCTACAAACCTGGTGCCAAAAGAATAGATTAATTATTCATGAAGGGAAATGTGATGCATTACTCTTGGATAGAAAACCCTTTATTGGCCCTCTGAAGGATTTAGCCTGGGGACACAAAACCATTGGATACAGATCTTTTTCTGTATGTCTTGGTATAGCCATTGATGTAAGACTCTCCTGGGCCTATCATGTAAAATCTGTCTCTACCTCATACAGCTCTAAAGTTAAAATGTTAAGACGCATAAGCTTTTTACCAAAAGCCACACTAGAAACAATTTATTACAAAACAGTCATCCCAAGCGTCTTATATGGTATGGCTGTGTGGGGCTCTTGCCCAGACTATTTGATGAAAGATCTAGAACTAATCCACCTCAGAGCAGCAAGACTTATCCACAAACTACCAAGAGACATGGAAGACAAAACAGCACGTATAAATGCAAATTGGATGCCATTAAAATATTTTTATTGTTCTTGTATTCTAAATATAACACATAATAATGCATAATAGATATTAATTGAATAGTGGAGATAGGTCTGCTGGAACTGCATAGAATTCTCCATCCATTAGAAACCCTACAAAATAAAAAGGAAGTGTTTGTAATTTTGAAGAACAGGAGACATGATGTGAGGGAGAAGAGACAGTAAGTCTTAAAAGGGGGCAGGTAGTTTGGTCAGAAATTGAGAATTGTGCCAAGAATCTTTTCATGAATTGAATGAATTCTCTTTCCCAAGAACTTTTACACTAGAAGGTCTAAGTTGTGCCTACACATGTGATATAATTTGGTGTCTCGGGTATTTAACTCAAGCCACGACATAGTAAGATTGTATATAGTACATTGCTGGGGTATCTACATCTACATTGCACCCTTGACATTNCTGTCTCTACCTCATACAGCTCTAAAGTTAAAATGTTAAGACGCATAAGCTTTTTACCAAAAGCCACACTAGAAACAATTTATTACAAAACAGTAATCCCAAGCGTATTATATGGTATGGCTGTGTGGGGCTCTTGCTCAGATTATTTGATGAAAGATCTAGAACTAATCCACCTCAGAGCAGCAAGACTTACCCACAAACTACCAAGAGACATGGAAGACGAAACAGTACTCATAAATATAAATTGGATGCCATTAAGATATTTTTATTGTTCTCGTATTCAAAATATAACGCATAGAGCTTTTTATAATATAGATTTAGATGATGTAAATGGTCTAGCTGTTAAGAACGCTTCCTCTTATAGTCTTAGGAGCTCTTAGGATATCGTTAAATGTTGCTGTATATAGGCCAAGAACCGAACACGGTCGTCGTGCATTTAAACACAGAGCTGCAATTGCCTGGAACTCTTTACCTGACACTGTCAAACAGCTTGAAAACCCTCTCTCTTTTAAAAAAAAGATAAAATCAATCAAGACCTATGTCAGAGACATCAGTTTTCAAAAGGAATGCTCTGTAAATTATAATAAGAACTCTGAATTTAGGTATTTTTAATTTATTCCGGATCACTCTTCTTATCGTTATTGTATAGTATGAGTCGCTTTACTGCTCAAGATGTTGAAGAGGTCATATTTTGACTGTGTGGCTTTTTATTAGGAAGGCAAGGGGTTGGACATTATTGGAAAAAAAAAGTTTCGATGTGCTGTTGGTACTTATAGTTTGCCAGGAAGCCATTTAGTCCATTTTAATTTAAAGTGACCAAGAAAAACATGCCGAGATGTGAACAAAGTCTGGCATACTGTTTATGATTACTATGATCTGTCATTTGGAACGAATGCAGTTGTCCTTTCTTGAAAAATGGCAAACAAGTTGTGAGTAACTTAACCATCGAACAACCAAAATAACCAAAATACAGGGACATATGGTGCATAAATGAATATTCTAGATGGATGGAACTTTAAGTAAGCGTGACCGACTATGAAGGGATCTCAATGCAGTATCAGTATTTCGTCGATTTTTGACACGGTATTGCAGTATTTGCTAATTTTTCTTGCGACGTTGCAGTATTGCATACACCCCAATGTCCCCCTCTGACATGGAATAGGTTCACTTCTGTGCTTTTCAAAATGATCCTAAACTCTCACATTCAAAGTGAAACTGATGGTTGCATTTCCTGCTGCCTTCAGTAATCTTATTGGACCTCTGGGTAACAGAAATTCACTTAAGTGGGTTTCCAACATTTCTTGTTGTGACTGGTAAATTTGATCCCTTTTGTTTTTTCTTTTGTTTCAAGCTTTTCATGATTTATATAATTAAATTATATTTTTTATGATAGTCGGATTTCAACCTTCAGAATTTGCACTATTTTGAAAAGTGCTTTAAGGTTAAATGCACAAGCATTTCACCAGTAAAAATTTGCCTGGCCAATTTTGGTAAAAAATTATTGTACATGCTGCATAAGGGAATGGGATACTCTCGAATGGATAGGAGGCCAGAAGTAGCTTGCCCTTTTTTTCCCTTCATTTGATCACCTATAAGAACAATAACAGTAACACACACTTTATTACCCATCTGATTCTGCTCCACTCAAAAAAACAAGAGTTTGCTCTTTTTACCTCGTGGTATTCTTCTTTTACAGGTGATGGGAAATGTGTTATCTGTGACTCATATGTACGTCCTTGCACTCTTGTGCGAATATGCGATGAATGCAACTATGGCTCCTATCAAGGTCGCTGTGTAATATGCGGAGGACCTGGTGTCTCGGATGCTTATTATTGTAAAGAATGTACAGTTCAGGAGAAAGATGTAAGTGATGCTTTTGCAACAAACAATAATGATTATAATCGTATCTATAACAAAATTCTTGATCGTGATTGGTTCTTTGTGCACCTGTTTGCCACATAATTGGCAAGCAATCACGTGGGTGTCCAATTACAGGTATCTGATTTGCACTTTTTATAATTGGACATTTGTAATTGGATACCCAAGTGATTTGCATGTCAATTGGGCACGCTTTGTTTTCACTCAAAAGAAGTTCTCAAAAGACATTTTTAATTCCAAAATTTGTTATAGATATGATTAATTAGAAATTGGACCTCGTGGCGTACAATTCAGGAAGTAATGGGGCTTGTAATTTCAAATCGGCCTCGCACTTCGTGCTTGTCCGCTTTTGAAATTACTTGCGCAACTACTCCTTGAATTGTACTCCACTCAGTCCAGTTACTATTACTAATAATAATGATTTAAACAATCTAACTTCCTCACAAGTCGTGTACGTAGAAAGTGATTGGAGGAGTTTTAAAGATAATTTAACATCTTTGACCAATGCACAGGTCCAGAAAATATCCATACCCACACCAAGGAAGGTCATTGGAAATTCCGAGGGGGAGGGAGGTCTCAATGGCCAAACTTTTTAACGGAAAGTATGAAGCTAAACTGGAAATTCCAGGGAGGAGGGGGGTACAAAGCAAGTAACCATCCATGGTGGAGGTATGGATATTTGCAACTTCATAGATCCTTTTCATAAATGGCTGCCAATTATAAATTCTTTTGTAAGTATTAAAATTAGCGTGACTAACCTTGTTCTTGAGTTGATAATTCAAAAGAATTTTTACTCCCAAACAAGTTTAGTGAGGCTAATTTAAATGCATACAAAAGAATTTTAAATTGGCAGCCATTTATGAAAAGGGTCTGTAATCTACTTGTCCGGGACAATGGGACAGCACTTTTTCTGGGCCCTGCATAGGTGGACTTCCAAGGTTTATGCTGGTGCTGACTGCACTAGTGTAAATCAGATTTATCCACCCTTAATACTTGTTATGCCCTGCCATCGCATACAGACCTGTAGAGAATTGTTGACCATATTCTTTTCTCTGGCCCACACTTTTCTGAGAGTTGAAGAAGACTTTTATTCTTCAGCTCTCTGAAACCTTTTTTTGTTGTTGTTGTTTTAAACTTTCACTGCTGAGGGAATTCAAAGTGCTATGCAGTGAGGAAACATTTCAATGCCTAACATATTTCTCTGTCTTTTGTAGAGAGATGGATGCCCCAAAATTGTCAACTTAGGAAGTTCAAAGACAGATCTGTTTTACGAAAGGAAAAAATATGGTTTTAAGAAGAGGTGATGGCATACCTCACTTAGTTACAAGTTTTATGCATGCATAGTTCTCACGAGTAAAAGACGTCAACAATAAAAGGTCCAGCATGTACTTTGTTCTGCCACTATTTTTGGTTCAATTCCACCATCCTGCTCAACTCAGATGGTTTATCCTGAACATGGCTGGTTAGAGTTGCAGCTCTCCACCTGACGTCTGTCACAAGTGATATTCTGTTTTTCATTCTGAATTCCACCATCAATTTTAAAACCATCCCGAATCCCGCCGTCGAAAGTGAGTAAATCCTGCAACCGCTGAAGTATTTTTATTTGGCTTCTCGCCATTAAAATGTCTGCCATCGCGCATCCTGCTTCCATGTTTACTCTCATCCCACATCCTGTCATACCTATGTTGGACCCTCAATAACACCTCTGATGTACTGTATGTCTATGGAGAGATACTGTTTTATAGAGTTTGTCAGCTTACATCTATGCATCATTTTGTCGTATGCAATGAAAATTGTTTTTTTTATGAAGAATATCATACTACAACACATGAACCGTTCTGCCATGTAAAGTAAAAGTAAACTAAATCTTGTGATACTATTTTGTCGAAAATGTACACATTTTCATTTCCGTCAAATAAAAGTAAAATTAGAAAACTGGTGGTTTTAACCTCATTGAAAACTAGCCACCCTTCTGTTGTCCTGTACAGAGTAACCAGTCGTTTCGCCCGATGTCAGTTCGCCCGGTTTCAAAGTCTGTTTGCCCGGACTGAAAGTTCAAAGAAAGATGTGCTTAAAATTTATCTTTCTCTAACCGAGTTAGGGATGCTCTTTTTAAAAGGGCCTTCGATTTTCTTCAACTTTTCCCTGCGGTCAGGTAAAGAGTTACTAAATTATGTCAGAAATTTGTTTCAAAGATGAAGCGTAAATGTTTCTATCCTTTTCATCAGTAAAACATAACCCTAAATACACATTTGAAATCAAACGAGCGGCTCCAAAAAGCTGAATTAATATTATTTTCAATTTTTGTTCCTCTCAAAACGTGGAACGGTAGAGAAGGTGATCTATCAAAATGGAAAGAAAGCTGACACCGAACGTCTAAGGTCCTCAAATGCACGCAAAGCGATAGCTGTGGCGACGTTAGTGCCAATCATCCCCAAATGCGTAATTATTAGAAGATAAAAGATTTGCATAGATTATCGTATAAATGCGAATGCAATTGAGGATTAACACTAAGAGTGATGTATGAAAATTCAAAAACCTGAGCAGGGTATTAAGAAATCATATGTGAAGAAATAGGTGAAGACTTTCAAGAACTGATCTTGAACAGCACATCCTTCCAAAAACCTAGAAATAATAATTTAGAGCTGACAACAGGTTGAAACCCCTCTAAGTCTTTGCAACATGTCGAAGCATGACCGAAAATAAGCGTCGTGTTTACTCAAAAAGGGACGTAGTGTTTAAAATTTTTCAACTTTTAAAAGATGTGGCGTTTTTAAATATTCAAGGGCAATGTTTTTCTTTTCGGGTTGCTAACTCTTGCTCAGTAGTTTCGACATTTTAGAGTAGAAAATACATTGCTGTTCTAGTTCTGTAAAAACGATAACAACTTCAACAAAACTCAGTTTTATACCTGGACATCTTGTCAATTGGAAATAAGTCAGTAGGGCCTTAGCTTAGGAGGGGGGACCCCGTACACCCCTCCCCTAGATCCACAGTTACAAGCAGCTACAGCAGGACGTAACTCTACAATGCAGGGTGCGGCGCTTAATTGTATGTTGGTTCTCATTTGCGGCTCTTTTGCCGTAAACCACATCCTTGAATCTACGGTAAAGTTTCTTTTCTCTGTCACTGATGACGACAGACAGATGGTAATATATTTTACATGCTGTGAAAAAATTAAATTTGTTCAGCCACCAAAATTATTAGCCAATGCATGCTACATCTCTTAGTCCAGTACCTCATTATTTCCGAGTTCCGCACTTTAAATAACCTTTATAGCGCGAGGAAGGAAGAGTGCAGGGATTGGACTATGCGGCTCTCTGGGGTCTCTCTCTCATGGTCCTTATGGGCCCTGTATGCCAGAGAAAAACGAGAGGGTTGTAAGGGACTCAAGCAAAAAGAGGCAGGAAGCGACACAATATAAGAAAAAGATGCTTTGGCCAGACGTTTCCTGTGAAAAACAAGAAATCCAAATCTTATCAGCAGAGTTGTGGTCTCAGCCCGGGATGCTCAGGAACCCATCATGAGCTCCTGTCTTTCTGTTCGAACTATAACAATATCGGAAAAGATAATGGCAGCAAAATTTCTTCAACTAAGGAACCACAAACTGTTAGCGACGCATTGCTTCCGGCATTTTCTTAATTCCACCTGACTTGCGCTGTATAAGTGCTATATTTAGACCCTTGTTTCAGGGTGCTTGCTTCTCGGTTGCTTGGTTTTTCGAAACACGTGACTTTCTTGTTGTCAATCATCGGCAAAATGTTTAGAGGACAAATCGCCAGCCGTTTCACTGAGGTCTCAATAGTCCGCTACACAAAATGATACCTTTATAGCACTGATAACGGGTCCCTACTAAGATCAGGGCTTGTGAAGTTTTAAAGCATGTTAGAAGTGAACATGGAGGATGTTTTGGTGCATTTGAAAGCTGTGTTCGAAGCGTGCGACCAAAATGGCGACGGATTTGTGAAGACACAAGACCTTCTACGTCTCGGCCAAGAACACTCTAGCGTTGGCTTTGAGGTACGGCTTGTCTCTTTTAAATGAATTAAATTATTCTTCGAATCCTTAACATCGGTACAGAATTAAACAGTAATCACAGTTTAACGAGAATAAAACTGGTGGAGTTATTACTTGTTTTCGCAGTGCCATTCATAAGCTAAGCTTCAATAAACTTTGAGGCAAACCGTCTGAAAATACATTTCACGTTATCATTAGAGCGTTTTGGGTTTGATTTCGAGGTATTAAACGCTTGGGTATTAAAATTTTAAACATCAGAGGGTTCTTTAGAGTCATAATTCCAGTGGTTTCTGAAGAGGCTCGCCCGATCCATTTTGTTATTTTCGAAAATTGCTTGTTTTATTTGTACTCTTGCATGTCAATCCCTACGGTGACCGCTCTCTTACACCAGTCAGTTTGCTATTAACTTTGTAAACCTGCCATCAAAATACTCAGGAGAGTGTAATTCCAACTTTTTCTTATTTCTCATTCAGCTAGTTAATATCTTTAAATTTAGTGGGTTCGAGAGTCTCGATTACCAATATCAAAACCGTCACGGCAAGTTTTTGTAGTTTCGTAACCTAAAGTTTCGACTCCCTCTTAAGGGGTGATGATTGTTGTGGAAAGCTCATTGATATTCTTTCGTTCTTGCCTACCCCCAGGAGATGAAAACGCTGATTGAAAAGCTCGATCCCGAAGAAAATGGGCGGATTAGTTTCGATGGTTTCTGTAAAGGAATACACGACTTTCTCGGTAAGTGATTTCACTGGCGACATGCCACATAATCGCCGGCCGATATACATGTGTGCTTTAGCTCAGTAGTAAGGTTTCTGTGATATTGCGTTATGCTCAATTTTACTAGCTGTCATTATGATGCCAAGGGTAAAAAATTATTTGCAGACGCGAAAATACGACATCTGAATTTTCCGCCGCCGTCTGAACTGAGTTACACTGACAGAGATTTTATTTCCCAAAGGGGTTAACGGCGATATCGATTTGAATGGCAGTGGCAAAGAGGCGCACGATTTTGTCGAAGACGATTCTTACCCAAGACTAACAATATCTGCCGTCGAAAACGACCAACAAGAAGATAGCTGTTGCGAGGTATTTCAATTCCCATTTTAAATTGATTTATTTGAAGTCTTGTCTTGTTTTTGAGAAGTTGTCCTTGCTCATTTCTATGCACGGCAGTACTCTAAAGGACTTCACCGCTGTGTCAAATAACAACGGACCTCAAGTGGGGTGCAAATTATATTTTGTTCCCCAAGTTTGTTTACATTATAAAAAGGCACGAAACAATTTCCTTGTAGGCAATAACTGGTGTGAACTTCTTTAGATTTTCATTTTGGGGGGCTTCTGTTTTCCTTTTTAATGGTCACAGTAGGAGGGCTATGATGTAAGGACGTTTTTTGTTTAGAATAAAACTTTGATCGGTCATTGACGTAATTTGGATTCATGACTGTGCGTATTCTTATATCGCCTAATTTGCATATGATACTATGAAAATTGCAATGGAAGCAAGTAAACATTGCGTCACATCGGATTGTTGGAATTACTTTGATCTTGCCTTGACATATTACGTGTACATGTGCCAATTTTCTTGTAGCATCATATTGCTCACTTGCACTAAGGAACAATCAACATTTCCTGATCCATTTAAAATCTGCTCATTTTACGCCACACGCACATACCATTAATCTTACGTAACCAAATTATAATCACAATGGTTGTATATTTTTCATGTTCTAGAATCACTTCAACGATACGTGTAACCTTTTCAGAACTCATTTGATTAAACCTTGAGGAAAAATAACAGTTTGTGAAGTTTTTATTTATTTTTATTTGTTTGGACCACTTATACACCTGCACCCAGTTATTCAAAAGCTGGCTCGTAAACACTTTTCTAGGAATCCAAGTTATCAATGTTGTAACTATTCTTGCATTAAAGCCTTCTTTTACTGTTATTGTTCTGTGTAGCTTAACTTCAGCAAAAACTGAGAAACAGAAAACCCTAAACTTAAAAAAGGGCAATCAAAATTTTCTATATTCTGGGATAACAGTAGATTTGATTATGGCTCTCTAACCAGGCCTTAAGTGGAGAGGAACACTTTCTTGATCAAACACACAGTATGTTTAAAATGACCCTGATAAGTGCTCAACTCTGGATTGCTCAACCCAGAGTCTAGGGCACTAACTATTAGACACTGAAAATGCCCCCCACTTCGAAACTAAAACTACTGTACTATTTACTGTTCTATTTTAGCGGGACAGCACTTACAGCACAACGTCAACAAATGAATATATTGGTGATGATGACGACAATTTTCCAGACGAGTTACAAACCTCAAATTTCAGTCGTAATCAAAAACAATATTCTACATTTCCACCTCCTACTGGGCCACGGTTGAAACATCGGGCCACTTTAGCAGCCATGAATGTCGACATGTACAGCGATAGATGTTCACACTCAGACACAAGTGAATACCAGTCAGAGGAAGGATTTGAAGGTTATGGAGAGAGCTTTAGTGAGGATACGGCATTTGAAGATAGTCCAACCTTAAGGAGGGAACGACAGTTTGAGAATCGTCTTTATAGAGGGTGAGTTTGATAATGATCAATCAATGGATCTTTATTTACAGAGGGTAACTAATAAACTTATGGCCTTCTTAAATATACAGTAATTGAAAATCTATTAAAAACTTATGTAAAATTATTTAAAACCTAATGGTAAATAAAAGTAAAAAATGCATGCAAGATTAGCTAAAATCTTGTCATTAATCTATTTTTTTGAAGTACTCTTCATATTTCAGGCCCCAGTGGTTTGAAGGCCAGATAACGTTATCTACCAGATTATCACTATCCAGCGGATAAGTGTTTGTTAACAAAGCAAGCCAGGCTGGATAGTGATTTATCCTGTGGATAGCATTATCCACTTTTTGAACAACCTGGGCCTGATGATTTAAATATATCATAAAATAGTAAGTAAACCTACAAATGGTGGTCCCAATTATCCAGTTATTTCATTTAACGACCAGGCACCAGGCAAATTGACTAGCCTCAAGAATGATATTGTTTACCTGGTTTCAGGAGAATTCTTTTTTTCGAAAGAAATTCAGTTCAAAACATTTTGCCTCCCTGTGAAAAGCAGTTGCCTCCCAGCTTTACCCTTCATAAAACCCCTAGGCAACAGAAAATGGGGTACTGAAAAATGTTTGATTTATCTGGGTTATACGGTTAGAGTATTTTTTATTCTTTAAATTGAGTCTCATTTTTGATAATTTTTTCAGCTCTGGTTCTAGAAGAACTTCAGCTGCAGCAGCTGCCATGTCAAGGTGAATGGTTTAGTATGGAGATGTTTTTCTTTTTATAGAGTTGATTAAATTAGAATGCTCAGCTCCAGAAAATATCCGTACTCCTCCCACAGAAGGGATTGGAATTTCCTAGGGGGTGGGAGGTTCTGTAGCATCAAAAAAGGTAAAGAAATGTATGAAGCTCAATCAGAATTTCCAGAGGGGTGAAACTTCCCTTCCCTGAGGGAGGTATGGATATTTTCTGGAACCAAACAATTTTGTTTCTTATAAAAATGTTATTTTGTAATAAATGTTTAACTGAAAAAGACTATTTAATCAAATGATGGCAGGATAGTTGGTTTGACCCCCTCTCACTAAATCTCTTTCCATTTTGTCCATTCTTTGTTTTTGATGCTGCTCCTCAACATAACTGCGACAGGTTTAGTTAGAAAGAGTCTTGAAAAGTCTTTTAAATTTTTTCTGGGATTCTGGTGTCTATGTTTAAAGGTATGTTACAATGAAAGAAGGACAGTGAGCTCCCCTAATAAAAGGGATTTTGCTTGTTTTGGGACTATTTTCAATATTTTTAGATTTAAGGTCGTTTAGGTCAATAGTGCAGATTAGTTAACACTAGACACTTCATGGATGTCATGTGACACCAAAGAATGCAAGTGTTCAATCTTTATTCTCTGTGACATATTTTTTTGGAATTTGTGTTGTATTTGTTAAAGGTGTTCCTAGAATGGAGTCTTTGCAGTAAGGCATCTTAAGTTTTACAATATTTGTTGTGATATGTCATTATAGGTATTAAAAGTAAGATTCTTAGTCAAACAGTGGTCATTTGAAAGAGATCTAGGGTCAAGACGATTGTCTGTCTCCATAATTTCTCAAGTCACTAATGTCTTGCTTAGTTAAAATTTGCTTCTAACTGGGTATTCATTGCCTCTGTTTGTCCACAGTCATAATATGCATCTTTTTAAATGTCACTCGGAGAACCCCAGCCGACATAACAGTTTTGATGATCTGATTGGTGATAGAGCACTATCAGACAGTGAAACCGGAACATCGATGTTTCTTCTGACAGAGGTTTGAGGTTTTCTTGTGGTTTTGGTGTCCTATTCAGTTTTTATGTAGCATGTTGGCAAGTGTAGCCAACTTATACTTGTAATTTCACACCATTTTATTTCAATTTGTTCCCTTTACTTTTTAGCTAAAGAGGTTATCATCCCAAGTATCGCTGTTACAGGAAGATCATGCGATGCAAACAGATAAACAATATAAAATACGAGAAGAAAACAAATTGTTATGTTCAAGGTAGGCAGACTGCTTGACATCTGATTTCTCCTAATGTTAGTTACAACTTGTACA